GGGGGGGGGGAGAAAAGACGCGAGCAGCCAAGATTGTGGGGGGTTGGGCATTTGTCTCACCACTTGACCGGCTTGATGCGAGGCAAACGACGTCCGTCATGGGACGCAACGACGCTCAATGTGACTTTTGACTGCGTCGAATGCGCGTCGCGTTCAAAGCTCACGGCTGTGCGAGCTCGGGCTGCGTCGAATGGCCAAGGGATCACCAGGAGCAGGACGTCATCGGCAGGAAAGTCCTCGAGTTGAGTGAGCTGGACCAGCGCGAGGTGCTGCAAGTGCGGGCTTCAGGTTGCAGTCCGGCCAGACGACCTCAGCGTGCGGCGCAGCCAATCCGCACTCTCTCTGCGCAGATTGATCGCAGCGTCGAGCGGTTGGATGCTCTTGCCTAGCTCGTTTCTTACGCTCCTCGTCTCTGCATCCACACTTTCATGCTGCTCCGATGGACCATCGGCCTCCAATCTAGCGTTATCCTGCTCGTCATCGTGAGCATGAAGAGCCAGAGCCGCCAGACCCAAATAGGAGTGCAAAAGGTCCGGTGGTTCGTCTGGAACCTTACCAAAGCCGCCCACGCGCGATTGGGCGCTCAGAATCCATCGCACATCCGCTGATGCGTCGAGCAGATCATGGTGCCCCAAGATCTGTTCAGCAGAGGAGGGGGAGCGAAATGGGGTTCGAGCGACACATAAGAGGTTCAAGTCAATGTCTGATCCTTGCGGAAGTTCATCGCAGTCAAGTCGTTGCACCAGCTCGAGCTCTTGCTGTGGGGATGCGGAGAGCGAGAGGGCAACTCACAGCGAGAGAAGCTCCGACCCAAAACGAGTAGCACACATCCGTTTCTTTGTTCAAACGACCTGCCAGGCCTCCGGTAGTGACATCTTGACGATGCGAAAGCCAATGGACGGTCTTTTGCTGTTCCGCCGGGCTTAGCCAAGTGTGGAGCTGACCGCCGAGACGGAGCGAGGCGAGCACGCAATAAGTTGAGCCGGCTAATCCAAAGAAGGGAAAGGATGGCGTTGGTGAGGATATGAGCCGAGAGGTGCAGATGCAGCCTATATGCTGCGCGAAAGGAGATCGAGCAGAGCAGCTCACCATGAGACTCCTCTCCGGGACTCTGCCCAAATGCTCCATCGAACGTCCTGCATCGTCCCAAGTAGCCCAATGTCTTCTGCAAGTCTATAGCTCGCCAGCCATCTTGTCCGAGCAGATGAGCAATAGCAAATGCGCAGAACACGAACCTCACGTCCGAACCCTGTTCTTCAGGCGAAGCTCGAAAGCTGATTGCGAAAGAAGCAACAGCGGGAGTGAGTGTGGTGCGGTGCGAATCGGGCGAGTAGGAGTGAGAGGTGGCTGAAAGGCGGCGGGCGCATCGAATGTCCCTTCTGCTCTCTTGCCCATTCGCGCCATGCCACGACGCCCCGTCATGCCCTCACCTTCCATCCTGCTGCTGGCACTGGCTCAACAGCGCACACAGAGCATCCTTGTCCAACCTCGTCTTTAGGCCCTCCTCATCGCGCAAAGTGCCCAGAGCCAACAATGCCGTGTAGGTTTGGGCCAAGTCTCCGCGGATGCTCTGCAGTATGATGGCGGGTGGGGTGTTGCAGGGCTAAGCTTGATCAGAAGGGAGCATAGCTAGCGCAGGGTTGTGCATTACGCACGACAGAGGATGGGCTGTATGCCTCCTTTGCGCTTTGCAGTACAGGCGAGCCGACAAAACCGCCGCTTGCTGAGAAAGAGATTAAAAAAAGACAGACAAAAAGGAGTTTGAGCTGTCAAAGGTTTCGCATCTCCGCGCCATCCACCCTCCATCTCGCCCATCTTCAACATGAGCCGAGCCTTTCTCCTCCCACAATTGCAAGCACGCACGCACGCACGCACGCACGCACACACACACACCGACTCACCCACCTGCCTATCCCAAATCCAATCCCTCCACTCTCTCCTCTCCTCATCATCCACGCGTGCCGCATCGTGCGGCACCCCACTCAGCAAATCGATGGCCGACAGCGCAAAGTAGGCCAAAGTGATGCGCTGAGCATCCGCTCCTGCTGATTGGTAAGCGTTGGGCAAGAGGTGCAAGTGTCTGACATGCAGAGAAATGTGCTTCTTTGGCGAGAAGGGGTTGTTGAGGGAGTAATCGCTGCTGCTGTTGGTGGTGGTGATGGCGGTGGTAGGGGTGATGGATGAAGACATGATTTGCATCTCGGGGCAGACTCGGCAGCAACAAGGAAAATAAGGAAGGGAAGGGGAGGGGGGCGAACAAAGAAGGGAGAAATGGGCCCGCAATTTTTATCCACCGCCCCCCCCACCTTCTTGGGAGGTACGTCTTCGATGATGGCTGGCATGCATGCAGTTGGAACTTTGTGGATGAGGTGCGCGCCCAGCAAGCAAAGCCCATGTGACCGCGCGCTAGCAAAAACTTGTACCGGTACACACGAAACCCCCCCGGTCCGCGGCTCCATGCAAAGGGTCCGTGCGCGTGTTCGCCGTGCACCTTCAAAAGCTCCACAGCACATCCGGCAAATCGGCCGCGCCGTGCGGAGTTCCTCCTTCTCGACGAGAAATTTGTGAGCGGGAAAGGTCTCCCGTGATCAAGAGAAACTTGAACCCGAATCATACAATGTGTGTGCGGACGGGTGCATGGTTAACGTCGCTCCATCTAACCCGCTCCGAACATCTTTCAAGGCCTGCCCAAGTCCAAGTAAGTCCCTTTTCGGCGTCCAACGCGCCGAGCGCAGCGCACAGCAAAGCACAGCAAAGCACCAGCCAGCCAGCCAGCCAGCCAGAGCACGAGTTGGATGCGAACGCGCATAGCCAGCTGCTTTGCTGTACGTGCTCAAGAATGCCCCTACGCAAGCAAGCATCCCGCAGTCGCATCCGCAAATGGCTTTCCCAAGCGTTTGCACAACTTGGGGCAACGCAAGGGCAAGCATAACGCAAGGGCAAGCATTGCCTCCTCACAGTCCCGCGTCTAGTCAAGTCAAGCTCGCTCAACGTACCAAGACCCCACCTCTTCCACACACACTTGCCTCGGCACGGCACGGCATTCACGCTCACGCTGCTATAATCCCATCAAAGCGCAAACATGGCGAGCGATGCCAGGCACGGCAAGGCAAAGGCCCCGCATCGATTTGCCATTTGCTCTGCTTCCGAGTCCCCCCCGGGCGCGCGCGCGTGCGCCCACCTTTCTCTTTCTACTACTTTTGCTCGTCGTACAAAATCTCCACAATGACCGCCTGGCTAGTGATCTTGGCCACGCAAGCCGGCTCGATGAGCAAAGTCTGCGTCTGGTCGATGAGCAGAGCCGGTCCCTCGTACATCTCTCCAGCTTTCGTCTTGTCCAACTCCACCAGCGGCGTATCCACTCTTCCGTGCCCCCCATCAAAGTACACTGCTGCCCTCCTCCTCCGTCCCATCGTCGTCTCTTGCAACGCCGATGCGTCGACTCGGGAAAAGTCTAATCGACGAGCTTCGGAAAGCGCGCACTCTGGTAGCGTGTCGTACGACTTGCCGATCCCTCGCACCCGCACGTCATCCACCCTTATCGGCTTGTCGGACAATACAAAGCCGAACTGAGCGGTGCGGTGCGGTTCGGTTCGGTGGGGTGCGATGCGGTGCGGTGAGACCGTTCGCCAGCAGGTCACCTCACTTCAGCACAGCTTCGCGTGGCAGAGCATCAAGTACACTCGCGAAAAACATCTCACCTCTTGCTTGTACGTGTCCACAAACACCTTTTCCATGTCCCAGCTATCGTTTGGTTTCAGGCTCATCAGCGCAGTATCCGTTCCTTCGTACCTCAGATTGAGCAAGACCTCCACTTCGAGCCTATCATCCTTGAAGCCCTCCTTGTGCAGTTCGCTCTTGACCTTCTCTTGCAGCTCTTCCACCCGCTTCTGCACACGTTCCAGCGCACCCTCGCTGCCCCACGTTTCGCTCGAAGGAGCTTGCGCTTCGTGCACCCTGTTCGCGAGCGCCATACCGTAGGCCGAGAGGATGCTGCTGTACTTGTGAATCAGCACCGTCTTGATGCCTAGCGAGCGAGCGATCGAGCAGGCGTGTTGACCGCCCGCACCTCCAAAACAAGCCAGGATATGCTTAGAGGCAGAATATCCCCTCGCTTCCGTGAGCGCCCTGATGGGTCTCGCCATGAGCTCATTAGCAATGCGAATGAATCCTTGAGCAGTCTCATCCAAGCTCAGCTCCCTCCCAGTATCGTTGTTGATCTCTTCTCGCAGCTTCTCAAATTCTATCCGAGTAGTCTCCTCATCCAACGACTCGTTCTCCTTCGGACCAAAGATCTTTGGGAACTTTTCCGTGGGAAGTCGGCCCGTCACCAAATTGGCATCGGTGATTGCGAGAGGACCGCCCTTGCGATAGCAAGTAGGACCAGGATGCGCGCTGGCAGATTCAGGCCCAACCACAAACAGCCCATTTCTCCAAAACAACCTCGATGAGCCACCGGATGCGACAGTGTTGATGCTGTGGCCGTGGGGCGGATCGCGTGAGCATGGACGTTTGGGCCGATGCGCGACAAGAGCTTGCAAACCCACTCTAGCTGAGGGCTTTGAATCGTGACGCCAGCCAAGGTAGTCTCAAAGACTTGCTCGTAGCGACCAGCAAAGCGAGAGACATCCTGTGCAGTTGCGAGGAATGGTTCGAATGAGCGCCCTGATGTTCTCCGCGCCGGTTTCGCGGGAAGCTCTGCTGGAAATGGAGCACTGGCTCACTCACTGTAGACGTGCCGCCCATATCCAAGCCGATGATCGGTCTGCCATCCTCTTTCCAATAGCTCGTCAACGCCATCCCAACGACGCCGCCCGCTGGTCCAGAGATGATGCTCTTGAGACCGCTGAAGCGTTCCACGCTGGTCAAACCTCCGTCACTCATCATAAACTCTACGCGGGTGCCTGCAGTGCCATCCCTGAGCGAGCCTTCGAAACCGTTGAAGAAACCGTCAATGTACTGCTTGAGGATGGGCGTGAGGTAGGCGTCTGCTGTGGATGAGGTACCGCGAGGCACGATCTGGAGAGGCGGCAAGCGGCAAAAGTCAGCACAGCAACGCCCATACCTGCGCGCGCGTGCCAAAGTGCGAGCGGTGCTGCGCTCACCTTGATCATGGGCATCAGCTTGGAGCTGACGCTGATGTGGGTGAAGCCGACGCGTTTTGCAATCTCCTCTACGATGCGTTCGTGCTCTGGATACGTGTAGGAGTGCATGAGGACGATGGCTGCTGCTCTGTAGCCCTCATCATACAGCCTCTTGAGATCCTCTTCGAGTTGCTGCTCATCGGGCTTCTTGAGAATGGCCACCGCTTCGCCGCTCTCCCCTTGGACGATATCAGCATCCCTACCATCCGCCGCAGGAGGTGGATGATCGTGGCCCTTGTAAGCTCGAGAAACTTTGCCATGCTGATCGAATTTGACGCTGTTCCGCTCGACGTGAGGGTCAGAGGCGTAGCCTACCAGCGTCACCCTCTCGTCCACCTCCAGCACCGCAGAGTACAGCACCTCTGGCTTGCGAATATTGAGGGCGAAGATGTCTGGCCTGGATTGATTGCCAATCTCCAACAGATCACGGCTAAGACGAATTGTGGGGCGGCAGGTCTGAGCAAAAAGCGAAGCGCAGCGCGAGCTCGTGACTTGCAGAGCGATCTACGTACAAGCCTTTGGTGGTCACTAGCACGTGCTTCTCTCCCTTGCGCTCAAGCAGCGCATTCGTGGCGACTGTGGTGGAGAGGCGTATATAGTCTGACGGGGCGTGGGGGAGGAGGGCGTCCCAAAGCAGTCAAGCGCTGCAAGATCACGCCATGCCACGTCGCTACATCCGGCTTGCCTTGCTCACCAATGGCAGAAGTGTCAATCTTGTCGCCCCTCTTGATCTCCTTTCCCAAACTTCTCTCCAGCACCCTGCGAATGCCCTCCGTCGGCGCATCCTTGTAATTGGCAGGATCGTGGGAGAGCAGCTTGATGACAATGTCTTCTTGATCGGGCACTCTGGCAATCACGTCGCAGAACGTGCCACCCCTGTCGCAAAAAACTTGAATGCCCGGCATAACGGATCGATGAGGAGATGCGAGTGGTGTGTGCCGCTAGATATGAGGCGTGGGTGGTGTGTGTGTGTGTGTACCGCGGACCAGAAGCCTGGACGCCAGCCAAGCCAGGCAGCAGCTAGGCAGATCGTGTGCTCGCGAGGAGCGGGCGTCGCAGTGGAGCTGTTTTGTCCTCCTCGGTGAGAGTGCGGAGGCGATTTGTGGTGAAAGCAAGTCAGTCAATGCTGTACTTTCGGCCTTTTGGAAAGAGAGGAGGAGATGGGCGCCAGAGATGAGGCTTGGCATCATGGTGATGATGATGATGATGATGATGCAAGAGCTCACGCTTCATCGAGTCTGATGAGAAGTAGCGAGTGACGAGTCAAAGCATCAAGGATTCTGGATGCGCGAGGTGAGTCACGAGTGGAGGGCCTCTCCTCACGTGCGCCACTTCACGCGCTTGCTGCTGAGGTATACATGATGTAGTCAAGACTTTCAAGCATGCATGCCGCATGGCTCGTCTTCGCCCCGCGCCATCAAGCTCAAGCTGGTCCGTGCGGATCGCTCGAGGTGGGTGAAAACTCATCAAGACTCGTGACCGTGACACGTGACTTGTTCACCATTGATCCATTCAATTGATCTATTCACCATCGACTTCCACTCACTCATCAGACTTCACATTCACGATCCAAACCTACACCGTGCATGTTGTTGTGATGAGTCGAGTCTGATACGTGATCGTGTGGGCTTAGCCATGCGCAGTCATCGCACGTGATCTGATAGGCGGATGGGATGGACTTTGGCCAGAGGGGCAATTAAGCGACGCTGGCTGGCTGCCGCTTCTTCACTTCTGAACGCCTGCAACAGGAGCGCACCTAGCTCCTCGTCTTCCGTCATCCGCAAAGCGAAAGCGAAAGGAGAGAGAGAGGGGGATGCAGAAGAGGTCTTCGATGCGCGTGCATGTGCAAGGCCATGCTCGACTCAAGACTCACGACTGCAGGTGTGTCTGGACGCGCAGAGAGCACCCCACCCGTCTTGAGTTCCCCGTCCCCCCCCCCCCCCCCATCTCGAGTTCTCGCTTTGACGAGGGTTGACCGTTCGACCGGCCTTCATGTAACGGTAAGGTCGCTTCGAATCAATAATGATGTGCTTTGTTTTCGTGATTAAAGCGTTAATTGCGATGCTTCAGACAAACATCAAGACGCCGAGCATAGATGCATGCGTGCATGCGTGCATATGTCTCCAAGGGTCCGCGTACGTGTCGAGTATTTAGTGTGGACCGAACCTGCTGCACAAATCGCGTGCCTGGGCGCTATAGCGATGTCTGGTGAGTCAGTCGGGTGCATGATGGACTCAGGTTCGACTCAAGAGGCACGATATCGAGTCAAGTGTGGGATGCCATGAGGCAATTAGCGCACGTACACGCTGATGCTGCCCAGGGGCGGGCGGAATAGGCGGCATCAGCACGGTGCATGCACGCAGCAGGTGTTGCGTCTCAAAAGCGCGACGCACATCAGCTACATACATATAGGTGCGGTGCGGTACAGCAAGTAGGCACCGTACAGCTGATGCTAGAAACTCAGCTTCAAAAAGAAGATTTCACGATTCAAAACTCCAACAAAAGGCTTTTTCGTAATTTCTGCCGCCCCCACGCGCTTGACGACTGCATGCATGCCTGGTGAGGTAGGGTACCGGGACGCGCGAATTGAATGCCGTGCCGTACCGGCCGGTGCTGCGCGGCGCGAGGGCGGATGAGCAGAGACTCACGACTCCACGACTTGAGACAGGCAGATCAACGTGCATCTATGGCATGCATGCAGTACATGCAGCAAGCAGCAAGCACCGCGACGACGAATCTTTTGAATCACAAGTGACAGCTGCCGGGCTGATGTTCCCTCCCAAGTTGCCGTGTCTCAAACGTCTGGCTCGGTCAAGGGCGGGCGGACGAGCGGGCTGGTGGGCACCGAATGACGAATGTTTGCGATGGCTGTACTCAAAACTGTGACTGTAGATGGAGCCCCCCTCTCCACACATCATCCATCCATCCATCCATCCATCCCTCGCGCTCATCGGCAGCTATCCGAGCCATCTGCGAGAGCGCTGAGCTCCAGCATTCACCTCCATTCACCACGACACGACGAAGCAAGTGTTTGATCGCGACGCCGCCCACCTCAGCTATAGCCAGCTGCAATTCCGTTAACTACTCTTGACTACATTGCATGACTGGCGCCCCCGCGCAATTCTACTTGGATTCTCGCAAGCGCTGCATGGAGCGCGCGCACGCACACACACACTCGCTCACTGACTCACTCACTCACGACTGAGACATTCTTGAATCGCCTCGACTCGCACCTCGCACCGGCGACTTGATTATTGCGCCGCCCCAATTTGGACATCAAGCAAGCAAGCAGCTTCAGCCATCACATCGATCACCGCAGCAGCTGCTGTGGTACAACAGTCTCGAGTCAAACCGTTACGCGCTGGCTGCTGCGATAAATTGACTTTGCAATCATCTATATAGGCGTCTGTCTGCCTATCCGCGCGCGCATCGGCGTAAGCATCTGAGACGCACGCTGTATATATCGCTTCGGTAGAGCCGACCATTTTTTTTTGAAAGAAGCATCGAGCCGCGCCAACCGGTCGATCCGCACCGCACCGCACCGCACCGCACGGCACCGTATCCTAGCTGTGACAGAGCTTAATTGCGCTCCGCCCAGCTGTCACTCCCCGGCCGACCGCTCACCTTCCCGCTCAGTCGCACTCAAGACTTAGGAGACCCGCATTGCATCGCACGAGCGATTGTCGCAGCGGCGCCCGGGGGCAGGCAGGGGCACAAACCTCGCTGAGCCTTTCGGGAAATTTTGCGGCTCAAGTCCGAACCTCTTTCCTCCCCCCCCCCCCCCCCCCCACGTATCAGGTGCAACGCGGGGGTCAAATTCAAAGGCAAGGCAAAGGCCACGCGCGCGCTTGCCATTTCCCACATCCGCCACGTCTTTGCATGCTCCAAAGTCACGAGTGAAAGGCACATCTATCTCCTAGGTGTATCCGTACCTGAACTCGAGGCGCAAGTGAACGCCAAGGGGGGGGGTTGGGTTCGGGATCAAGCTGTGCGACATAGGCAATTGCACTGGTGACAGCACTAAGGTTGAGGCGTAAAGCGTCGACGCAGAGGTCCGCACAGCGCATCCCGTCCCCGTCCCCGCGCCCGCGCACCCTCACTTGCACGTCCACTAGACGCTACGGCCACCGCTAGCACTTGTGCGAGTTGCAGCAACGAAGAGGGTTTTTGCGCCTGGCGCGCCCAAGAACATCATCAATCCTCCCCCTTACGCCTACTCTTTCGTAGAGCAGCCGTGATCCCAACCCAAATTTCGCTCTTTCAACGAACAGCACCTCTGAGCCGCGAGTCAGACACGGCGGACAATATTCTTCTTGCATCTTCACAGTCAGGATTCATAGGCATTCTCCTTCTGCACAAGCGGTAGACCGATTGTGGACGCATTGCGGCCCCCAACCAAACCCCGGAAGCGCGGTTCTCGTAACAACGATCAAGCGCCACTAGAGACTGGGCACTGGCAGGCTTGGTGCGATCGATCGAGTTGACAGTTTGAGCACCCCTTTTGTCGCCTCCTTCCCCCGCAAGCGGAACAAGCACCGCACCCCCACGAGCTTGGATGAAAGCGCAGTGAGTGCAAATGCGGAGGGTATACACACACACACACACACACACACGAAGGCAGAGGAAGAGGGGGGAGAATAAGAGCAAACAGAGTCGCCTCGCGGGTGCTGCGCAGACGTGCAAAGCATGGTGCTATCCAAAGAGGGAGGGCGAGCAGCATCATGTGATTACATGGAGAGAATTCATAATTCGCTTACTCTATTGCTTGCCACTTCTGCTTCGCTTGCGCACTCCCACTCGCACGACAGAACAAAGATGGGTCGCAAAAAGATCAGGATCCAGCGCATCGATGATGATCGCAATCGATCCGTCACTTATCTCAAGCGCAAAGCGGGTCTCATGAAGAAAGCTCACGAACTGGCAGTCTTGACGGACAGCGAAGTGGCCGTCATCGTCTTTTCGCACAATGGCAAATTGTCGCAATTCTGCAGCGGCGACATCGATAGGGTGCTGCTTCGATATACAGATGTGAGTCGGTATCGCAGTCACGCTTCCCACATCGCGCAGACACTGTGCGCTAAAGTTCGCGACTGACGGACCTCGTCGATGAATAGCACAACGGTCCAATGGACCACAAGGGACCCGACTTTTTCTTCAGAAAAGCTGCAGAAGCTGATTCGGACGACGACGAAGATGAGGAAGAGGAAGACCTGAAACCCATGAATGCTCGCAGGCGAGATGATGCTGACGACGATGGCGGTGACAGAGGAGGAGGAGGAGGGGGAGGAGGTCTAGCAGGTGGAGGTGCGGGCCCATCGAATGGACACGATGCTGGCACTCTGAATGGCACTCCGTCTGCAGCGGGATCGGGACAAAAGCGCAAATCTTCCGGCGCAAGCAGAGGATCAGGTAAGAAGGGCAAGCAAGCTGCCGATGCAGGCGGAGCGTCGGGCGCGGCAGAGGCGTCTGGCTCGCTCATGCCTGCACCTCTTGCTGGAGGGAAGGAACGTGTGAGGGCTGCCATCATGTCACGCAAAGGCTCAAAGGACGGCCTTGGCAAAGCGGAAGAATCCACGTCGAGCAGCAGCCCCGCCAATTCCAGCCCCGTCGCTCCCTCCTCTTCCACAAGTACTGGTGCGCGTCACATGATGCCGAATCGGACAGCCTCACAACCTTTTGCTTTCAACCTCGACGCTTCGGGCCAATTCTCGCAATCCGAGTCCGTTTCGCGGCCCAGCACTGGCAACCCATCGTCGCACAGCGCAGGTGTGAATGGGCCTAGCTACGGAGAATTGGCTGCTGGCAGACCGGCAACCGCCAACGCCGCTTTCGGATCTGGCTACCCTCATGCCGCAGCAGCTGCTGCGTATGGAGTCAACATGGCCCGTCCCATGCCTCCTCTGAATCCCCTGCTCCAAGCTCATCCACAAGCGGCGCACTACGAGCGCCAAAGGATGGAGCAGATGAGGGGTCATCGTCACAGCCACAGCGCTGCGCAGGACTCTGCAAAGATGCAAAACGCCTCACCTTACCTCGCATCTGGCCCCTCGCCCTCTGCTTCCTCATCGTCATCCTCGACAGACGCGTTGACTGGCCAATTGGGTCCCTATCCTACCCTCGGACCAGTGGCCTATCATAACGCCCCAGCTCAAACGCGCATGCACGGACAACAAGCGCCCCCTCCCTACCCTCACGCCGAGAGGTCTGTAAGCGACAACGTCTTTTCCGCATCGGCCACAAACGATGGCGCTTTCAAGCCACCGATGAGGAAAAGCCAAACAGCCCTCTTCCCTGCTCAACACCAGCACCAGCAGCACGCAGCAGCATCATCAGGACCGATTTTGGACGACAGCGGAATCAATGCGCTCTTGGCGCAAGCTCTATCGACGTCCGAAAAGGTGGGCAGTGTTCATGGGCACACGGGTGCCGGCGTGCATGCTGCGAGTGGCGGATTGCAGCACTTGGACGGTCTGCACGCTGCGCACACTGCTGGCACGGACGAGTACGCGTTGCTGAGCGCTCTGCAAGGTCAAGCTCAGGCAGCAGGTCCAGCTGGTGCTGCACACGGCCACGGTCACGGCCACGGCCATGTGTCCGCCCAAGTCACGTTGCCGCACGATCCCATGCACCCATCCCTGGCCGCTCCTTTTCACTATCGCCACCACCACCACCACTCCCACTCCTCCCTTCACCATCCAAATCAAAATCAGCAGCAGCAGCAGCAACAGCACGTGGGTCTGCCTTATTTCAACACTGGCTAGAGTCAAGTGTGTCGCCGCCGCCGCCGCCGCCGCCCCCGTATCGTTTCGGAGGCCCCTGTCGCAGACCTTCAACCTTTTCGCTCCCGAGCCTTTTCGAACATCCCACTCCATCCATGTACATAGATAGAGTCATCTTGGCAATGCTCGACTGCGCGCGCGCGCGGGCTCACGCGCGTAATTGTTTCCCCGCCTGTCCATCTGTTCCCCCCCCCCCCCCCTTTCCACGCTTTTCTCTCTCTCTCTCTCTCTCCTGATGAATGCGTGGGGTGTTTAGAGGAAGATCAACTTTTGGTTGGGGGGGGGGGGGGGGGGGCTTGGTGAACTTTTTTGAGCACGCGCGCAGACACACACGTGGGGCCAAGTTGCGTGATTTCGAGTTGTATGGCCAACCAATATCGATGAGACTTGGTAGGTTGGCCTTGCATGCATGGCCGGCCTCCTTCATCGCGTTGGCCCCCCCCGCCCCCGTCCGCCCGCGCTTTGCGAGGGGGGTTCTGGGCTTTTTGAAAGTTGCAAAGAGCGGCGTCTGTAGACCTCTTTTTTGTCTTCGCTTCGAATTCGGAGTGGGCGCTCGAAGCGCTCCGGGCGAGGCCCCAAGGATGCACGCGAGCACAGCTGGCGTAACTAATTCGCACAGAAGGGTGTGGGGGGGGATAGATTTTATTCATTGCTAATTGGAAGATGGCGTGCGTGCGATGCGTGCTCTGGAGTGGAATGTATGCGGAAGTGAAAGTTTCCAAATGGGAGCATGCAGATGCTTGAGCGAGTCGGAGTTGAAAGGAGCGCGGGGAAGAAGTGTGCTAGGACAGATGGGGGTGATGTGGAGGGGCGGGGCGGGGCAGAGATTATGAACATGTACAGCGCGGATCGCTAAAGGGGAGCTAGCTATATAGTGGACGTTGGCGCATCTGATCCGAAGCGGGTGTCGACGACATCCAGGACGTGTAGGGGGCGGCGCATCACAGCCACACGGCAAACACGCAAAACGTCGCCGTCAATGTGGCCAGGAGCGTCTGAAGCGGAACGCGATGCAAAGATGATGTTGCGCCATTTCCACCTCCCACTTTGGCCGTTTGGGTCTGGGCTACGGTGGAACTTTCGGTGCCTCCATTGAGACCGTCTGCAAGCGCAGCAAAGCCGACTCTAGGTTTGCCAGAATTGTAATCGAACACGCTGTAGACGCTCTTGAGGAATGCGGCGCCGACGATCCATTGCAGCGTCTTTGTCTGATCGGAGCCAACACTGAAGAATGCGCCCAAGCACGTCTCGCCCGTCCTGTCCGTTGCGCCTGCCAAAAAGTCCGAAGGCGACAAGACGTAGGCTTGGTTGCCGAAGGTGACGCTTGCCGACACGTTGGTGGCACAAGGGTAGTTGTAGTAGCCCTCTGACTCCGTGCTGGGCGATGAGCCGGGAATTTGAGAGTACAAGTCGGCAATCACGCTGGACGGTCCACCAATCAGCGTGGTGCCGGTATCGATGGCAGCATTGACAGTGTTGCCAATGGACACCGTATTGTTTTGCAGCGTTATGCCTCCCAAGGTGATCAGCCAGTAGGACTCATCGATGACTTCTGACCAATTCATGTCACCTTGATACAACGACGAATTGGTGCCTCCAAGCGTGAAAACGCCCCCGTACTGCGTGTTTTCGGGGTTGCCAGAGTCGATCTCCCTTTGCAGAAAGAAGGAGAACATCTCATCTGCTTGCGAAAGCCCCACATTTTGCCACAATGGTGTCGCTTTTGCAGTCGAGAGGGCCTTGAAGCCTAGCCCTGCAATGCCATCAATCGCTTGATTCAAAAGTCCACGGGTGACTGCAGTGGCGAGTGCGAACGTCTGAGCAGCAGTGCTCTGGCCAGCAAGCTGCATGGCGTCTTGAGCCAAGTAGCCTTTCACGGCACCGGATCCGTATGTTATGCTAAAAGGGTCCGAGTCGTTTTTAAAGGTCGAGGAATCGGCAGGTTTGTAAGACGATCGATCGGATGAATCTATCCAGATGTCTGCAGAACCCGTATCGAGAACGAGATTGACTGCTTGACCCGGAGTGCCGATTTCGAAAGCGGCGGTCCAAGAGGCGTCCCTGTCGACATTGACGAGGCTCGCTGCGCCGGTCGCCCTCTTCCGCATTGCCGCCTTTGCTTCCGATCCGCTACGCCTCGACGTCTCAGCCGTCTTTGATGAAGCAAAGCCGTACTTGCTTCGCAAATGCTCACGTTCCCCATTTGCCCATGCGTGCAGATCCGATCCGCTCCGCCTTTGGACCGGCCCTCGGCGGGTCATTGGCATGGACAGGCCCTGGCTGCGAGCTTCTGCGTTGCTGTGCGGTAAGGCCTGCACATTCCCTGTCGCAGTCGCAGCAACGAGCGTCGCGCACATGGCGCTCACGCTCAGTAGTGCAAGCCTGGTCATTGTGTAGACGGCTGCAATTGCAAAAGGGTCTCCAAAGTCAAGCGAATAGGCAATGCGAAGCGAGAAGTTTCCGAGTTCTGGCCGGGTTAAGAGGATAATGGAGCTGCGACCAGCGCAGAAGATGTGTGGACGACGTTGCTACGCTTTATAAGCTGTCTCTGTCAAAGGATAACTGGAGCAAATGATCGTGTGGATGAATGACGGAGCTTGCGAGTGAATAAGTGATCGATGTGGTGAAGTTGACTGGAAGGGCAGCCGCAACGAGCGATCTGTGGGTGGGCACAGCAACGGCATGGTTCGGCAACGGTCAAACGGTCCAACAGCAGTTGCCAAACAGACTTGCTTGCACGCTCGTTCGCAATAAGTCGAGAGCAGTCACGATCGAGTGCAGCTTAGTCGTGATGCGCTATAGGGTTTGAAGCCTCGCCTGCATCCAACATGACCTCGTGGAGCATGCCGAAGGGGGGGGGCATTCGCCTCCTCATTGCCATCAGCCACCGACCGCATCTTTCCACAATTTGGCCAAAGCTCAAGCTCAAGCTCAGGAGCGAACGTAGATAGATGCGTGCGTGCATCCGTGTGGCTCAAGAAGGAAGCACAGCAGATGCCGATGTTGTGGGTGCAGCTGCAGGGCAGGAGCGCTCGTCGTTGCCGAATCGGGGTGTGAATTGCAGATCCCTCGCTCGCCGTGGGCAAGGTTGAGACGACGGCACCTCGTCAGTCATTCCTGCTGCGCTTGCACACCCGTTCCCATATAAGCTGCGTCGTGCGCCTCTGTTTGTCTGAGCGCATATGCTGGAGGATGCTTCGCTTGCTCCCCATCCGATGTGCCGGCGCGTGCCAGTGCCAGTGCCAGAACATGCATGCCATGATGCACGCCTGCAGCATCAGCCAGCCGCCTGCCTGCTGCAAAGTGCGACCCTTCATTCACTGATTGACGATTTTCGGCGTCTTGCATGGGCGGGCAGATTCACGATGGAGGGTTCGGGTCGGAAAGCCGTGGTGCGGAGAAGGCAAAAGCCACTCGGCAGTCGTGAGTCGTGAGTGCAGCATCTGTTCGGATCTGATCGGCTAGCTGCGATGAGGCGCCTTCTTGCGCGCCGCTGATGTGGATCGAGCGAACTGAGCGCGCGATCGAGCGAGCTGTGCTTCACACGAACGACGACGCGGTGAGTAAAAAAAAGGCTTGCTCCATCTGTCGATCTGTCGCGTTTCGCATCTCTGGACCCAGCCGCGCGACACATCATTGCGGTCATGCTCCGAGACTCACGCTTTTTGTAAATCACGCTCCAGCGCTTTGATGTGCACTTGTTACACCAAGGCATGCGGCTGATGCATGAGTCGAGCGCACGCCTCACGGCAATGCAACACAACATCTCGCCTCTCTCTGCGCGCACGCCGTACAAGCAGACCACAACGCTTCCACAGAGTGATCATACTCACGAAAGTGCCTTTAAGAAGCTTTTGGCTCGCGCTAATCACTCGCAATGACGTGGATGGATGTGGATCACATGAATGTGCCGGCAACTCGGTGGAAGTGCGGGTGCTTACCAAGGACCGCGCGTCAAATCTGTGGCTCCGCGTGACGGAGCCAAGCACGAGTGTTAGCGCTGTCCTTTCATTTCACAGGTGACACAAAGGTCCATGCTGAAGTGCAAGCTCCGTACAATTGGGGTCCGCACCCGTATATTATCGTGCTTTGCAAGATGAATTCCTGGCAGCTCCTTTGTGAATGACACTACTCGCGACTCGTGACTCTGACTTCTAGGTCAGAATTGCAGCTAGTAGCCATGACTGGGCAGTCACAATTGTATCTCACACGCAATCTGCCCACGCACGCCAATCGCGCAAACTACACAATCACGAGCCCGAGTGTTCGGCCGTTGCCATGCTATTTGCAACTCGTACACCACTTGACTCAGGATCATTGTAGGCAGAGCGAGTGCAATCTTTTGGCATGTTACTCTCCTGCAAGCCCACACGAAAAGCACCGAAGGATTTTTTCAGACCCTGTCAGAGAGTCGTAGGTCGATGCACGAGACTCCACAGAGCGCATAGCTGTATATGAAGCCTAAGGACACATGACAGTGACAAGAGCAGCACGGCACTCACGATTGGCATCATGCCATGCGAGGCGACAAAACTTTGCCAGCATTTTCGACAGTCGTACTTTTTTGCGAGCAGCGGCAGCAAATCGGGATTGTCAAGGTGGTGGAACAATGTGCCGCTTCTCTGAATGTTGACATTGTTGGACACGCGCGGCGGACATGAGTGTGACAGCCATCTCTTCCTTTGCCGCAGGACGCAGCAGATCAATGAGTCGCGAGTGTAGCCGAGCAACAAAAGAACTTCACGAGCCTCGTACCGTCTCCATTGGCCCCACCCCCGCGCAAACGGATGCAAAAGCCCCGGCGGTGCTGCACCATGGTGAGAAGGGCAAACACGAGATAGCACGGGGCGCGTTGCAAAGAGCGATACGATTCAGGAGCTCTCAGCGCCACTTCTTTCAAACTGGCAAGGCAAAGCACAGCAACTGCCCAAAAGACGCGGAAAGAAATGGTGCATGGTGCCGTCTGGATGTGCAAACCTACGCGCCCGCGGAAACGAGCCCACGCGTTACCTTGACCAAAGGTTTTCTCTTTTTTCTTTTTTCTTTTTTTCTGTTTGGTTTTGATTCCTTTCGCACATCTGCCGAGATGCACGCGGTCGTCGACCGACTAACGACTCACCCTTGCGACCTCCGCCTCAGGATCAAGTGGCATCATCGTGCCGCTCTCATTTTGTCTGCAGCAAAAGCCAGCGCAGAGGTGATAGCACATCGACACTGCCTGCCAGCTCTGCACAGCCATACACAGCACATCGAGCGACATCGCGTCAGGCTCAACGTGGTCGCGATGCCACGCAAGACGGACGTAGAGAAAGACCGGGCGTGACGCTATGAAACACATTGCATTTGGTGACTCTTACAGTACCGTTCTGCGCGTCCGCCATCTCTGCGACGCAAGGGCTCTAAGCGTGCGTGAGCGGGTCGACAGCGAGCACACCTTCATGCTCAACGTATGGCTGAAATCCGTGCGCACAAAGCGGCAAAAGGTCGATCTTCGTGAGCCAAAGTCGTCCACATCATGCTCACGTAACACACATCGCTCGCGATTGTTCGACTCACATAGTGCCAGCTGCTCAGCCAAGCTCGGACAGCTTGCGCCAGACCCACTCGTCTTCTATCTGTCGACGTGCTGGTATGCCTGCCCGTGCCAGTAGCCAGGTAAGCGATTCCTCTTGCATTTTCTCTCTCCAATCCCAGCAGGAATTGCTCCACCAGCGTGACCGCCTCTTCGCCATGCAAGCCGTGCAAGTCCATCAGGTACTCTGTCCTCTCTTCAACCGAAGGTGACGTGGACTGCTTGCCGCCTCCGCGGAGATGAGAGATGGAAGCTACGCCTAGACAAAGACCGAGACCCGCTCCCGCGCTTTTGCCTCTCAATCCTCTGGCCTGAGCCTCGTCAGACTGCACACCCACACCAGCACCCTCAGGTCCAGCGAGGGCCATACGTTCTTTGATCGCCTTATGCCTGTCCCTCATCAAGAGAGTCACAGCTCCTCGCTGTTCCTCTGCCAACTTTGCATTCAGCGCTTGTCCTTCGGCCGACCACTGACGGGCGCCAGCTCCATCTCCAACCTTCCACGCCTCTGCAGCACGCGCCACTACGAGGAGCAGTAGGAGGTCGACGTGGTCAGTCACGATTCGAGACCTTTTGGCGGCTAAAGGCGACTCACGACATTGATTCCGTTGATCACTCAATGACAGTGCCACGCCTCTATACGAGGCATACGAGGCGGCAGCCGCCTTACCAGTGTCCAGCGTCGGGACCAAAGCTGGCGGTCGAAGGACGATGCGGGGGCTTGGTCGATTGCTCGCACCTGCAGGCGCAGCAGTAGAGGCTGACGAGGTGCTGCTTCGTGGACCAGTGGGTGCTCTGCTCGGTGCAGATGCCTTGTGTACGTGCACCGCTGGCGCATCACCAGCCACGAGCGCCATGGGAGATTGATTCTTGCCCTTTTGAAGAGCTGCTGCCCATCTGATCCTGCTGCTGTCCGACGAGCTGGCAGAACTGTTTGTGGCAGGACCCGTAGGCGCACCAGGCGGAGCGCCGCTCGCCCTTGCGCGAGTAGTTTTTGGACCGGCGGGTATGAGTTGGCCCAATTCTGGGAAATCATCGTTAGGAGGCGTGCGAGGCTCGGTCCCAGCTGACGAAGAGGCGGATGGTGCCGTCGGAACAGAAGCAGCTGAGCTATTTGGACTATGCGGAGTACCTGATGACGACGTCGAGCCAGCAGCAAGCCCGCTCGCCAAGGTCTGCACCGCATCGATTGAATGCGTGAATGCACAGTTGTCGTTGAGGCACTGCGCAACGAGAGAGAGAGTCGATGGTCTGACCTGTTATGGCTTGCGACGAGACCCATCGCTTACACTCACCCGACCACGGAGCCAGTGGATGCACAGTGCGCGATCAGAGTGCAAGAAAGCGCAGTCCCTCCTCAAGCAGCCCTAGATGAACAAAAGGGGGTCTCAGGTGCCTGTTGCTGTTAGCCTGCCACACCCGCGCACTCACCCCAGAGCTTGCCCAGTATTTGCACACTCGATTCTGCTTGGGCTGAGCAGTCGACGATGGATGCTGAGCAGCAGACGAGCTGGCGAAGCGCGCCGCAGCACTGCCCCCCTGAGCAGCTTGAGATTGCCTGTAGTTTGCAAAAGCTTCCCGGCTCATCAAGCTGACGCCACTACCGCCAGGCACAGAAATGCCCCTGGGATATCGTGGAGTGGCAGCAGCGACAGCTCGAGGGCCCACTGGAACGGATCCACTTTGCGCCCCGCTTCGAGCAGAGCTTCCAGCCAAGCCTTGTCCACCAGCATCCATGATGGCCGCAAGTGTAGCGTCCACATCCCATCCATTTGCTGCCAATGCTTCTTCTATCTGCTCAGGTGTCCACTGCTGCTGTTGTTGCTGGAATGAGCCTGTTGACGATGCAGATCCTACCGAAGAAGGTGCAGCTCCTGAACTAGAGTTGAGGATGCTGAAGAGCACGTCAAAGGGCGTCATTGTGGCGGCCAACGCTGACTCTTCGTCGCTGTACATGCCGACGCTCCAGCCCGAGGAAGCACCCGCATGCATCTGAGCCAGTGGACTCGCGTCGTGATTACCTCCGGAGCTCGCACCGCTCAACGAGCTGACGCTAGTAGTGGAATCGGCATAGAAGCTGCCTCTCTCGTCTCCAGATCCAAAGGCAAGCAGACCAGGAGTGGACGTCATGGTGTGAGCCGTGAGAGCGGATGCTGTCGACGTGGAATTGGGTCGGGTGGATGTAGCAGCGCTTGAAGTACTTCGGGCAGCGCTCGTATTGCTAGCCACAGCGAAGGGCGAGAACTCGTCCGTGTCGCCGTCCGTGTCACTTTCGCTTCCGCTGGCAGACGACCTGGAACCATTGCCGCTTCTGCCTTGGCTAGACGTGCTGCCGAGCAGCGAAGCGCTTCGTGCCAGACCAGAAGGCGCAGCGGCTTGAGATGATGCACGTCGATTCGTCGAGGGGGAGAGAGAGGCAGCGTTGCTCGAACTGGGCCACCCGCTCTCCGAGCCTGGTCGCGCGGGCGAAGCGCCCGAAGAAGCTCGAGGCTTGAACTCTGAAGCTCCCACGTTGAGCCTAGGGCTGCCAAGAGGAGACGGCGAGAGTGGCCTCGTGCTCGCAGCGTTGGCAGCTACAGCTGCTGCACCCGCACTTGTCGGCAACAACGCTGGCCTCATGCCGGCGGGAAGGCCAGTGCTGGTTGAGCCGCTTGAAGAGGATGGCAGAGTGGTACCTGTGAAAGGGGTGCTCGGTGCCAGCCCCAAACTAGAAGACCAGGCCGCGCCGCCACCCCCGCCGCCGCCCTCCTTTCCGAGAAAGCTGCCAGATCTGTGCCAAGGCCGAGGAGAGGCCCGCTGACTATCGACGCTGGATCCCAGCAAGGCTGTCTGATGAAGATGAGCTGGTGTCGGACTTGCTGGCGTGGGCCAAGCATCAGCACCGCTTTTGGCCGAGGAGTTGAAGACGGACAGATTCTCAGTACCGGAGCCTAGCGCAAGATCGCCCCAGGTAGGAGACACGAAAGCAGGACTCGGCAGCGGGCTACTTCCGGAAGCCGCAGCAGACGGAATGCGTGGACCAGCATGAGCAGCGTTGGCAGCAGCAGACGTTGGCGTCCAAGGACGCGTGAGGTGAGGATGAGGCACACCGGATGAGCTGTTGCTAAATGTCCGCAGCGATGCTGGTCGGCGATTTGGCGATGAAATGGTAGTGAGAGCACCACTCCCGCCCCCATACGCTGCCATGGCCAAGCCAGCTTGCGTGAGTCCCACGGCGCTGGCCAAGGGGTTGGGCACGACGGCACCGCTTGGACGGACATCTTCGCGGTGGCGGTGTAGCAGGTCCAACACGAGCGCATCGAGACGCGAAGGAGGCTTGAAATGCGGTCGAAAGAGATGCGCTGATCAGCAACGCTCGGCCTGCAAAGACCTTCGCACAGCGCAAGCTTCAGCTACTCACCAAGGGCTCCCCATCCGATGCGAGTTTGAGCGCTTCAGCAAGCGCATCGCGAACCTGCTCGATTCTATCTTCGTCTTGCAAATCTGCGCTGTCCAACAGGCCCAATATGCGAGCGGAGTGCTTGGCAATGTCCGCAGGGGACAGCAAGGATGCCAGTGGAGGCGTTGGAGGGCTCTTGACGCCTTCAGACGCGCTCTCCGCCGAGCTGCTCAGCTGCGAGAAGGCAAAAGAGGGACTGCGAACCGTGGCGGATGGCCGTCGCGATGAGCTGTATCGAGAAGGCGTCAGGGAAGGTTCCTCTGACTCGGAGTCGCTGCTGGCGATGAGGGCATGTACACGAGCTTCTGCAGCTGCATCCGCGTGGGCATCCGCATCCGCATCATCTTCGTCGTCGTCGTCAGCCAAATCGAGCATCGTCTGCTCCGCTTGCGATTCCGCTTGTACTGTCAGGCTTGGACGACGTGCGGACAAGTGCAGCTGATGAAGCCTGGAGGAGACGCCTTGAAGCTGAACTTCTGCTTCGAGGTCCGGTTCGTCGTGACCATCCACAACGCTGCTGGTGCTGCTAGCTGCCAGACTGGATGGCTTTTGAGGTCTATAGCTGGCGCTTGCAGCAGCGGACATGGGCATAGGCCCTACGACGGCGGGTGCTAAGAGGGAGTTGGTGCCACCGTAGCCGTTTGAAGGTCTACGAGAGCTGCTGGATGTGGTGGGGCTGTGCCTGATGCTGAGCAGGGCCTCCAAAAGGGCTCGCGCGTGAGTGGTCTGGGCTTGAGGTGTCATGATGATGATGGCTGAAGAGTGTGTAAGTGAGTAATGCGTGGTGGTGATGGGGACTGCATCCACGCCTAGGCGCGAGCTTGTACTTTGGCAGCTGGCGGTGCGGTGCGGTGCGGTGCGGTGCGGTGCGGTGCGAGCGATCAGAAGGCTATTCTGAGGAGCATGGCGATGTGGTGTGTCGTGGATGCGAGCCTCGGCATAGAAGTCGCATTCGTCTTGCTGACGAGTTGACAGTCACGAGTGCTGGATGGCGGTGATGAAGGGGCACGCTTTGGCATGCGCCTGTCCTTTGCAGCAATCAGGGATTTGCTGAGCTTCAGTCAGGGAATGAGCGTTCGCGCGTGGATGACGCCGGTCCCGAAGGCAAAGCAGCTTGTCCAGGTTGTTTGCCGTGTGGGCGATGGATGGCTCCACCACTGTGACTGTTCAATTGCGTGAGTGAGTGTTGAGTGGTGAGTGGTGAGCGTTGCGCGACATGCATGTTTGATGGACGATTTCGTATGAGCGAGCGAGCGCACCTGCACAGGGCCTGCATGTCGACCCATGATCGATCGAGTCGTGAGTGCGAATCACGAATGCTGTGCACCCGCGCGCGCGCCATTCATCCGCGCGGGGGTGTGTGTGTGTGTGTGTGTGTGTGTGTGTGTGTGTGTGTGTGCGCGGTGCATGGGGGGCGACACTATGCATGACTGTGCGAGAACAAAAGCGCCTGCACGACGAGCCCTGCTGCTGCAGCGCACTCCCCCCCTCTCTCGCTCTCGCCTGCTGTGTGAAGCGCGAGAGTGGCGCGGAGCCCAAAGGCAGCAATCATCGCGCCCCATGCATATCTGTTGTAAGGCGCCATTCAAATTCAGTTCAAAGTCAAAGTCACAGTCAAAGTCACAGTCAAAGTCACAATCACGAGTCTTTCGTACGGTACGAGCACAAGCAGCTCATAGCAGGCGCGTTGTTGTGGAGGAATTCCCCGACGCGCTTGAACGCGCGCCGCGCCGCGCTGCTCTTCCTCTGCCTCTGCCTCTGCATTCTCTTGCCCACCTCATCGCCTACTAAGGCATTCGTGTGCGACAACACCTCGACTTGGTGTGTACCGTAGAGCCTTCTCATCTTCCCGCAGTCACCGACGCCACGGTCGAATCAACATCGTTGCGGTCGAACATGGCGATGGATTTGGTGGCATCGGCCAGGCTGCACTGGCAAGATTGTCTTGCCCAGCAGTCGGCACAGGCAGGTCCAAGCAGCATACAACCACACCTCAATCACCTCATCGTCGAGAGGCGCAAGCAGGAATCGCAGCTGAGCGACGCGCTAGGTGAGCTGCTGGTGCGCACTCGGCTCCGTACAGAGCGTACGTGTGCAGGTGCAGAGGCAAGGTCCAACACTGCAAAGTTCTGCGTGCTTGACATTGCTCACACTGCATCTCTTGGCTGCACAGAGCTCCTCCATCAATCGTTGACAGAAGCCGCTGCACATCGACAAGACCAGAAAGCGTGGAGCATCTGCAGCTCATCATTGGCAGAGGTGGCACCACGCATTGCCGCTCTAGCTAGCGACAATGCTCGCTTTCCTCGGGGCGCTCATGCGTCATCACGCGCAGCCGACGATCAGCTCAGAGCGACTTTGAAACGCCATTGGCAGCTTTTCGAGAGATCGGTAGCATGCGAGCTGCTGACAGAGCAGCAACTCGAGGCAAGCAGGGGTGCGCATCTTCCCGTGATTCCTCTGCTGCGCTCCTTATCTGCCGTTGACGAGTTGGAGCTGGAAGATCTGGCGAGGAGCGCAGCTGAGCATGCCCTCGCACAGGCCATGCAGCACCTGCTCCAACATCACCCTTCAATCCGGGCGAGGCGAACCAGGCGAGCACCGACAGACGAGTCCATCTACCACCAAGCACGTCTTGCTGCCGCAAAGCACGCGGTCAAGCAGTGCACAGCACGAGTCAAGCAATATATGCGGTCCAGCAATAAGAACTTCCTTGCAACGATTGAAAGCGAACTGGCAGAGGTGGCCACAGACATGCTTCGTGAGGCGCGCATCTCTCAACTCTTCGACATCCTAACCCGCTTTCCAGCTTCGACGCCAGCCTTGAGCGATCTGCGCGATGTGCTCAGAACGACTGAGCATAAAGAAGATGTTTGGCTCGACCTATCGCTCAGCTTGCAGGACCGGCTCCTGCACCCAGGAGCACCCACTGCTCAGATTGTTCAGCTGTACGTCTACCTCATCAGGGGCCTTCGCATCGTTGACTCTTCCGGTCTCATCTTGTCTCACGTGATAGGAGAAGTACGAAGGTACCTGCGAGCAAGGCCCGATACCATCAACGTACTCATCAGCGCTTTGCTGGGAACGGACGAAAGGTTTGCCATGCTAAGAGAAGATATGGGGCTGGGGGAGAGCGGTCAGACGAATGAGGATGACGATAATAGTCAACTGATTCCACACGTCTCTCGAGCTCCCGCAAAAGATGCGCTTGTCGGAGCGACGCTGGCCGCATCCGCCCTAAACCAGATGCCCAAAAATTGGTCAGATCCCAATTGGGAGCCAAGGCCAATCAATGCTGGTCCTGACTACAGGCTGGGCACCTCTTACGACGTCGTACAGATGCTGGTAGGCATCTTTGAGGATCGCAGCAGGTTTGTGAACGCTTTAGAGGTCAGCACCGCAAAGGGACTCTTGGATGTCAAAGGGTACGACACGGTGAAACAGGTGAGCGCACGCGTACTCCTGCACGAGCATTGACGCTTCGCCCACCATGACTTTGCTTTATTTCGCGTTCGCACAGCTCGAGACGAACTTGATTCTCAAGCGACGCTTTGGCGATGTCCTGCTTTCGCGCTGCGACACTATGCTCGATGACGTAGTGAATTCGAAACGTACAGACAGCAACATTCATGCCAACATCCTACCGCCCGTCGCAAGTCGAGATCACTTTGGGCGATTGATGCCAAATCCGTCTCCTCGGACGTCGAGCTTTTCAGAACCCGTAGAGCCAACAACGCATGTCACGCACCCGCTCATATACTCTAGACAATTCTGGCCGGATCTGGAGCGCGGACCTCAATCGGTGACGATGGGCAGCGCTCAGCAAGGAAACGATAGTCAGGTGCCGCACATCCCGCTGCCACCCTCTGGGCTGAGCTTGCTCACCTTTCCGCCGGAGAGCGTTTTGGGCAAGAGTCTGGAGACGTACGGAACGGCGTACAAGAAGGCGAAGACGATGCGAAAGGTGCAGTGGCTCAATAGCAGAGCCACGGTGGATCTCAGCTTGGAGATGGACGACGGAAGACGAATCGAGATCGAAGCGGTCGACGTGCTGTATGCTGCTACGATCGAATGGGTCGCAAGCTGTGAGCGTCGAGGCGATCCTTTTCGCTTTCGAGCCTTCAGGTAGCCATGCTGACGATAGCTTCGATCACTCCCTCTCTTTCCTTTGGCTAAGTGGCCGGAACAAGCACTGCATTGACGCTTTCCAACCTGGGTTTGGCACTGGGTGTGGACCACGCCGCGGCTGAGAAGGCTGTGCGATTCTGGTGCGATCGTTGCATCTTGCGAGAGGGTCGCGATGCGGGCGAGATCAGCGAGGACACGTTTGTGGTGGTGGAGAACGTAGATGCATCCGAAGAGGGCGCAAATGTTTGATCTCTGCCGCTCTTGCTCACCTTTCTCTGCTACAGCGCCAAGGAGTCTATCATGTGTAGTTGTATTTCAAATCACGACGCAGCAGGCCAACACAAATTGCACCTACAGTAGCGGTGCGATCGTGCAAGACCGCCAGCGCGCCAGCGCTAGTACGTCGCTCGCTCTGATTTGGTACGCGACATCATGAGTCATACGCAGTGTCAACCGAACTCGGCTTTGATTCGCGACCTGACTCAAATGACTTCTTCTGTCTGATGAACGTCGACGGCTCCATGGTTGCTCGTCGCGCTCCACGTGATTGACGACGACTGAATTGTCATGCGCGATGCAAAGGCCACGGACCTCCGCGCGCTCGCCGACGTGCGCCCAAAGTCGTTGATGATGTCGATTGAAGCTCAGCGCGTTGATTTTGGCTGTTTGACTCACGAGCAGCTCGATAGCATACCATCATCTTCTGACCCTTGCCTGATATACTCCATGCTGAAGCGCACGCCTCTACACAAGTCTGCCGAGCGATCCTATCGCGCAGAGTTGCAAAGCGTCCTTGACCCATCATCTCCACTTTAGCAAAGCACCGCAGGTCCAGCTTTCTCACGCACAACTGTCCACGCTTTCAATCGCGACAGTGAGCGCAGCGCATTAACGACGAGATCATGAGAGTGCCATTCGCGCAGAGCTTGGCGGTGCTCAAACAGCCGGTACAGGGCTTCGACGCTGCCAAAGTTGTGGCTCAGGTTAGTTTGACGTGACAGAGCACAGGTCAAAGAGACCTTCAATCGTGACTCACCAATTGACAAGTGATGATTGCCTTCGCCCTCGTCTTCGCAGATCATCGCCTTTCAAACGATGCACTACTTCATTCTAGCCTTGCTGATCCCTTTGAGCCTCTCGCTCTTCGCCTCTCGGGATGCCCTCACTTTTCAAGGCGGAGCTTTCAGCGTGTCCGCCGTGCTCGACTGGAGAGAGCTGCTGGGCGCCAAGGCGTTCGGAGCATCACCTGATTGGGCAGATGCTTGGCTCACACCGGTATCGCTAGACGGAGTGCCTGGTGCCGGTGGCTTGCAGCACGTTCCGCTGGAGCAGATCACGAGACCGGCTCCTGGTCGATCAGCTAGCGCTGCCATTCGTCCCATCAAGGCGGAAGATTTGGGAGACGAGTGGGAGCTGAGGGCTGCGGATCCTAGTCGCAAGTGGGCGACATGGTTAGCATGGATCGTGGCTGGAGTCTTGGAGTGAGTGAAAGGCAGCGGCAGCATGATTCGGTGCATTTGGCCATCGTTGCGACGAGAGTGACTGATTGCCGCACTCTTGCACAGCATGCATCTCTTGCTCTTCTTGATTCGCAAGCCTACTGCGATGTTGGATCACGTCTTGACCTTTCACCTCTTGCACCTGATCATAACTACGCTCTGGGTCAGGTCGGTGCCATCGTGGTGGTACTATGCGCTCGCAGCTCTACACGCAGCTGGCTGCGTCGTCTCCTCCGAAGCCTTTGCAGTCAAAAGAGAGATGCGAGACGGCTTCAATGCGCCCGTCTGGGATGTAGACGATCTGGCAGATCAACAGCAGCAGCATGGTGAATCGTCACGCAGGGACACCTCGCAAGGTGACGCTACCAGTAGCAGCAGGGCGTCTCGACAACCGACTTTCGTAGTCGACGAGGACGATACGGACGACACTAGCCAGACGCTGTTTGAAGCGCCATCTCATGTCGTGGCTTCGAACGAGGACGAGAAGGGATTGGAGCACATGGAGCTTAAACCTCTAAGCAGGCGCGATTAGAGCGTCTGCGATCACTTTCAGATATCATGCACAAGTGGGAGCCGCAATTCACATTCAATGAAAATCAGCTCGTTCAGCTACTCCCAGCTGGCTTGCAAAGAGGTCTAGGGCACCCCAAAACGTCGGTGTTAGATGAGATGAAGTCACAGTACACCTTGAGACGTGTTCTGTCTCCTTTCGTTGAAGGAGCGAATTGGCTGACACTCACTCATACAAAGAAGCTTTACGCTCTCGATGAGGGTCGCCAGCGGCACGGAGTTCTTCCCGCCTTTTCTGTGTCTGTTCGGCCTATATTGCACGAGCCCGAGGTTGCAGTTGTGGAAGGATGTCTCAAGACTCTAAATTGCTCATTCATGCGTACGTGGATCCTTCGGCAGGTTGAGGCAGCTTGCGATTCTGGCTTGCCGCCATGTCCCTGCGTGGCAAATGTCGAGGATCGCGTCAGGATGATCGCCTTCGTAGATGTGTGCACACACACGACACGTGGCACGTGCTGCCCCAGCTCCTGACTGAGAAGTAGCAGCTCCTACCTTGCTTGCCTCCTTCAAAGCTAGCTTCATCGATGTGCTTGTCGCACTCACCTTCTGAGCTCCACCAATACCGTCTCCAATGTATTCTCTCGCCTCCACCCCGCGAGAACTGGCAACGCTGCTGCATTGACCTGCAGAGGGATCTCACCGCTGTCAGTCAGGGACATTACGATTGCTGCGACCGTCACCAGATTGGCTCCGCGATGCCCAACGGACTGCGAAATGCCAAGATGATGGCATGCATGCTCACCTTTCCATCTGATCCGACACACGGCAGGTTGATCTTTGTGAGGAAAGCAACCTCGGGAGGCTTGTCCGGGTAAGAGGCTCCGCAGTACACCTTCAAAGAGTAGATGCGATTCTGAAAGATGGTGTGTCCTGGTCCGATGATCGTTGCGCCCCAGTTGGACATTTCTGGGAACACGAGATTGCGACGTGAGTACAGAGAAAGAGCAAGCGATGTGGCTTGGAAGCTTACCAATATCGGAGCTGTCATCGAGACCATAAGAGCAGGTGCCATCTCCAATACCTTTTTCTCCCTTTTCAAGCTCCTCCAACAGCCTGAAAGATCGCGGAACTAGAGCCGTCGAGGATGGAAATCAGCAGCGAGCGCGGTCCCTCGCGATCACTCGAAGCACTTACTCTTGGCCATGGTGGTCGAGACTTCGATATGCTGGCGGCTGGGGCTGTGGCTGCAATGCGGTGGTTGAGCCTGGATGTGTGCGGCGGAATGAGATGTGGCTAGGAAGCGCCACCTTGATGGTGCTCAGCAGCGCTGCAATGTCTCGAGCAAGCGCGATTTGATGTTTTGGGAAGCTTGTAGAGCACCCGAGGTCGAAGCGGCAGTCGTGATCGGCATACAGGTGCTGTGCGTCAGTCACGAGTCACGCGGCACGAATGATGGTTGCGTTGGTGCGAGTTTTGCAGTTGCAGTTTGATGAGTCGAGTGGTGAGGTTCGAGTCGAGTGCAGGCGGTGGCCCGATCGCATCACATGGGGCGGGCGAGCAGCAAGCAGGCTTGCAGGCGACGATAACCCTCGTGACGTGACTCTTGACTCTTGACCTGACTGCGCGACCATGCAGAGCTTGACATGCACGCACGCACGGCTATCAGTCAAGAGTCAAGGGTCAAAGAGTCACGAGTTGTGAGTCAATGAGTCTGAGTATGAATTCTCATCACGTGCACAGCCTGCCGCGACCCGCTGCTGTTTCTCGGCCGGGAGTCCGGCGCGAGCTTGAATTTCTTCACCGCCACGATTCAAGATTAATCACGACATTCACATTTGAAATTTGCATCACGAACGTCACGAGTTTGAATCAGAATCAAAACTCGTGATTCACATTGTGGAGTCTGATTGCACAGAGCGGCAGGAACCCTCGCAAATTGTTTGAGTGTGTTACACGCTCGCCTGCTTGACTGACGACCATCACCCAATCATCAATGTGAATGCGTCTTGGAAGCGCGACTGCATCTGCTGCATTGGAAGGGGAACCTGCAGTCATTCCGTGCCAAACAGCCAATCGATGCAAGCGGTCTCCCAAGAGGACAGCGCGCACATTCGAGAGACAAGGTGCACAAGAGGTGCGCGCTCTGGTTCTCGTTTGCAGGGAGCGCAGAGGCCCATCCATCGACACTAGGAGCAGGCTGGCACAAAGGAGGATGACGAAGCACGGAAAAGACCCGCAAAGCAAGCACAACAAGGGTTTCCTGTTTGGCGGCGATCAGCGCAACCAGAAGAAACCTACGCCTCACCCCCTCAGCAAGCAAGGTCGGGCTGCAGCGAGCGCCAACGCACAGGTCAAGCTCAAACCCATTCAGTCCGCTCCTTGGCCCGGCCAGCAGGAGGACGACAGCAGCAGCGATGACAATGACGATGATGCCTCCGCCGCACCATCTCAACGGCGATTGAGGAGGCTAGATGTAGCCTGCATCCCTTCCAAAGGTCTGCCACCCCACCTGCATCATCTCTGCCAAGCCATCCATCCCGACGATCCTCACTCCTCGCAGAGCTGCGCGGCAAGAGCCGCCTTTCTGCGCGTGCCGGCATCTGCGTTGCATCCAGCTGCAGGTCAGTATGGTTTGTTCGCCGCCATCGATATCCCACCTCGCACTCCCATTGCGCCCTACTTTGGCATGTTGCACACCGAGGCAGAGAGCGATCCGGCCAGCAACTACGATCTCGCTTTGGAAGGACCTTCTGGAGAGAGATTGGCCATCGATGCAACGCATGCGGGCAGCATCGCTCGCTGTGAGTAGCCTTGCTTTATTGGCGTGATGTCTGCCTGTATGCTCACATTTCCCCTTCATTCAGTCTGCAACGACTATCGAAATATTCTCAATCGGCCAAATGCTGAGCTGCGCGATTTCATTGCGCGGCCGGCGCCGATGTCGGGCACCAGAGACCTTGCTTCCACGAAAGCACAGCTTCGACGCGCTTCTCACCTCGAAGATGAAGCAATTGCGACCACAGGCAGCAAGGCGGGCGCTGCCAAAGCACTCGGCACCGAGCAAGGCTCATCAGCTTCTCCTGCGCCACCCGAAGAACAGTCATCCATCAGCGAGACGAGCGATCTGGCTGTCGACGAGGCGCTGGCAAACCTCAGCGTGTCAGACGTCAAGCCTGCGCGGCCTGCCGCAGGTGCCCAAATGCGGCCCATTATCGGACTGGCAATCTACAGCGCCTCCAAACCGATCAAGCGCGGCGAGGAGATCTGTATCAGCTATGGCAAAGGCTTCTGGGCCGCGAGAGAAGGTCGTGAATGAAGGACCGAATGATCGGTACCCACTTTGACAGCAGCGTGATGCCTGCTTCGAGTGTGACCGGCAGCTCCGCGGTTCCGTACGCGACCCTTACCGCTCGTCAAGGGTTTGCTGGTTCTGATGTCCGCAAGACGTATCTGTAAGCACAATTGTGGTTGTTCAGTGGCCACTAACGTGTTTGGCCTTGACAACAGAGAGGACCAAGCGGGACCGTTCCAATCAGGCCCGGAGAGATTGACGTGTGAATATAAGAGGGTTTGTGCCTTGATGTGGTGTAGGCCTCATGCCACTGTTGGCGTGAAAGGTTGCTGAGGCGGAGATATGCTACTGATCTGATTTGACTTGACTTGGCTGAGTGGCTGGCTGTATGATGAAAGAAGCAACTGCTCAAGGGTTTTGTGCAAGCTTCGTGGTGAAGGAGGGATATTTGGCATGCACACGCACAGACGCGGGGTGCACAATTGTGGCGGGCAAATGACATGATATCAGCTTGCCATAGCGCGCAGCTTCGCCCGCCACGCACATCTTCTACTTTCCGACCTTGTGGACTGTCGTTGGAAGTCATCCTGCCCAGAGCCTTGGTCTACGCTAGCAACGCCGTCGTGGTCATCTTCGTGATCGTTCTGCCCCCTTTTCTTTGAACTTTCCGGCCGCCATTCTTCTTGCCCTCCATTGCTTCACAAAACAGCTGGGGGGGGGGGGGGGGGCCCGAATTCACAGGTTTCAAAATTTCTGCATGGTTGGGGTGGTCGCTGACTCTAGCTAGCTGACGTGAAAGCGTTTTTGGATACAGCGGCATTAGCCCGGTCTACCCAGACAACAACTGGCAACGCCTTGGGCCTGAATGCCTGTGTTCCTCCATTGACCTGTAAACCTCAGCCGAGCTTCCCATTGTCTAGCCATAGCCTTCAGAAAGCCGCTTCAAGGCATGTCAGCCAGGAAGTGGGAGGCGCGTCGTGCTGCCAATGGACATGAACAGGAGATGAAAGATATTCGCTGCCAACACGTCTGTGAATTGCGCTCGTTACAGAAGAAATCACAGTCCTGAGAGCGGAGAAGAACGACATTCGCCACATAAGGAATACCGTGGCGTGCATTCTGTGGCACGAAGTGGGCTTGCCCTCTGAATTGACTCCAGGTGAGATTGTACTGAAAGTCTAGCAGCGAGGAGAGAGAGAGAGAGGGGAAATACGTGACGTGGCATAAAGTAACGATCAACTAGACGTCGCAGGCTTCTCGGAAGCGCCCAGCTATTGGCCAGGAATTTGACAAACCTGAGTCAGCCATTGGGGCAGTGCCGACCGTCTGCTTTCATCCCAGCGGTCGGCATCTGTCTTGCTCATTTCTGTATATCATTGCGCTTGGTCGCGTGGCCGTCCCATCATGCATCGATCCTCACGCACACAAACCAAGTACCGGTATAACATCGCATCAAACCACAGTCACTCGCATCGCCTCAAGGCCCTTCCCTTCACGCGGCCTCACTTGCCCATTTCACTTATAGCACATCTCACTTATAGCATATCTCACTTATACC